TCCCGTTTAGTGCTATGCAAGTCCTCAAAAAGTACCGGATAAAGTGCATTAGCTTAATATTTGTCTGAAATTACTAATTGCTGAGTTTGGCGGTTTTCGCTGGGATATGGACCGAAATATTAACGAATTTGTTCTCAACTGCATTTTCATGGGTTTTTGACCTTCAAAGTTGCTGTTTTAAACCGATTTCAAGGTATTAAGATTGAGCAACCCATGTAACAATCTGATACATCTCCTTTTAAGACTTAAATACTTTTAGAAAGTCATAGAACACTTATTATGTGCTATTTGGTGTCCATCTGGCAATAAAAATCGCGCCTCTTGACATACACCCAATTGATTTTGCCGTCGACGATCAATTCAAGACGCTTGAATTGATCGTCGACGGCATAGGCACGGCATCAATTTTGTTGATGATAATTCATAGGCAGAAAAAAGACGTTGAACTTAAAAATGAAAGCGGTAAATTTTTTTTCAAATTCTAAATTCTGTGGATACACTACAAGAAAGCAAGTAGAGTATATTACGAGCTTTTGAAAGCTTACAAATTGTCCCAAAAGTATGTGCATAATGTTTAGTCGTTGATATCTCCCTTGAAGTCTTTCGTCGATGATACTGTTGTGTGGAGCTGGCTCCAACTTAAATCCAAGTACGCAGCAATTACCTGTCTCTCTTCAGTACTGTAGGATTACGGTAGGAACTTTGAGAAGGATTCTCCGCCATTGATGACATTGGGTTATAAAGAAAACCACACAGTCTAAAATTATTCAGTCTAGGTAATCAGAGCTGGTTCTCCTAATGTGGATTGCGCACTTTAGAATAACGTTCCTCCTACATGAAGAAAATCTGAGGTCTTTATTATTTCCTGCGGGTGTGCACTAAACGCATTTCAGTCGAAGAGGCTATTGAATGCGTGAAGGTCTTGCAGTCTGCGAGAGCCAGCCGGTGTTATTCAGTGCTTTCATCCGCTCTGGTACCAATTTACCATACAAGAGAGTACGGCCACTGGTAGGACCGTTCTGGGTCCGACCAGTGGCCTTGTTCATCAACGATATTTGAAGTCAAAAGCTACCTTGAGAGCATGCCTTAAAGTAGATTTTCAACCTCAAGTAACTTTGCTAATCACAAAACCAAGTTGAGGTTAAAATGTGCCTACTGGTCAGCTCACTGAATGCTCACTGATGCTTGTTCAGGACATGCCATGACGTATTAGCGGTGTATGAAAATTCTCGCTTTTAGTGATTCTTTAATCTGCCAAATACTGCTTATGTACTGTGGGTCCAGCTGCTGTCTTTTAGGAGGAATTCATTTTAAAAACCCGTCGTACTTTTTTCAAAGGCGCCGAAAAGCGCCACAACGCTTCCATTCCAGTGCGCACCTCTTGGAGACCAGTCATACTTCGCCCAAAAGCGCTCAAAAGCGCCTAAGCGCCGGAATGCTTCCTTTGTGAGTGTGACTTCTTCGTTAGTTTTGGGAGCATGGTGGATACTAGAACAACTGCGTTCATTTTATCATGACACATGTTTGATTACACTCGGTGTCGGCTCAAGCTTCACCATAAAACTGTTCTTGTTTCTAAATGCGAGTCAACGCTATGTGCAAGCCATTGGCGGACCGAGGGGAGCGGGGGGGGGGGCCTCCCCCGAAAATGGATCGCAAAATTTTTGAAATTTACTTACATGGGTTATAAGAATGTGCAAGTGAATTGTTTATTCTTGCAAGTAATTAAAATAATTTTTAAAGTTTTTAAAAATTTAAATTAGCTTTGTAAAAGTTTTTTTCGGGGGTCCCAATGCAAGATTTTAGGGGTTATGGACCCGGGGAAATTTTTGAGAAGCGCCCCAAAAATTTTTTCGAAGTGCGTGGCTAACGCCACGCATCTTCATTTGAAAAAAATTCCCCCCCCCCCCCCCCCGGTCCGAAATCCTGAGACCGCCACTGGTGCACAGCAGTTTGCTGAGATGACTTGTAGATTGATTGGACTCTTGCTTTATGTCGTCATCACGATTCTTTGTTTACCTTTCTAAGACATTAGGAGTTCCTACCATAGGTGCGATAGTGTGAGTTGCTCCCTCCCCCCCCCCCCTCCCTCCCTTCACCCCTGAACCGGGAACAATGTGATCGACCCCCTTCACCAAAAGCCGAGAAAAAAACCAACAGTAAGGTAAGGTTAAGCAAAGGAGACATTTGTACGGGAATTGTTTGTGTATCGGAAACGAGGAAAAAGATTTATAGGCATTTACGAACCTCCAGGAGGAAAAAAAATAGTAGCTTTTGTATGATTACGTTGATGTTGTTATGCCAATACGAGGTTTGGTAAAGCCTTTTATCGATGCGGCCTTACGTTTCGACTTATCGTCGTCTTCAGAGGCCTCAGCGCCGCTTCACCGATGGTGCACTGGTGGTACTGTGCAACCCGTTTTGACGTGTCAGTAGCTTTTGTAGTTGTACAGCAATGTCAGCGAGGAAAGCTCCTGGGTACAACGTTCCCCTCTGCTTTCAGGGAATAAATAGTTTGCCTAGAATCCGTTCATAGAAGTACCTAGTGAAAGGTGTGCCTAGTGATAATTAAGAAAATTCATAAATTTTGTAAATGATTAGCTGGCACAAGGAAATAGTATCCATCGAAACCGCCTCGTCCTCCCTTTTGAGAAAATATCTAGCATGTCTGAGATCCTTTTAAAGAAATGCTTGGCTGAAGGGTGTACCTAGTGATTTCTGGAGATTTCCGAGTTTTTATCATTAAAAAAATTCCTAACTTCTGGAATATATAGTACATGGAGATAGTCACCATTGGAACCAGTGCCTGGTGAAGGGTGGGTGAGGCTCTCATAATGGGGGTTCTCAAGTAGACGTCCTTTTACAGTGGTCCTCGGTCGACATTTTATAATTTTTTTACCAAGTGAAAGTCTTTACCAAGTTGCGAGCGTCGATAGCAAGAAATGCTTACGCGAGAACATCAGCAAAGAACCCGTTGCGATCATGAAGCCCTTGACAAGAAACTTTGCAAAATGCCGACCATCTGAACTGCAACTCTTATAAAAACTTTTGATATGCGGACTTGGTATGCATTCGTAATGGTCTGACTCTATCAGCGAGAGTGAGCTCAGTTACAATCGAATCATCTCATATGATCATGTGTGTCATCACTGCACACACTCTCCACATCTGGCGTCCAAACCTGGAACTGCAATCGCAAAAACGCAAGAGACCAACCGATTGTTATGGCTTATATCACTTTGTGAAGAGTGGTACTCAAAAAGAGGAAAGAGCAAATGAAGAAAACATAGGAAACACTTAGCAGAAGGGCTTTCTGTTCCTAAAATCCAGGATGAGGACGCCAAAGGTGGACAATATGTGCTGTGACACACATGATCATATGAAATGATCCGACTGTACAGGGCTCCTAAATTGCAGAGTCGTTTGCACCCGCGGTCGCGCGACCGCATCGCGCCCGGGCATCAATGGCGCCGCCTCGATCGATGGCGCCGGCGCCGGCAAAATGCCCCGTGCGCGACGCGGTCGCGCGACCGCTGGTGCAAATGACTCTGCAATTTAGGAGCCCTGTACATTACGCTGGAAGTATCCGTTTTGCATAAGATTCCCAACAGCAAAGTACAATAGCACAAGTATTGTTCAACGTTAATAATAGTAAGCAACGAAGTAAGGGAACTCTTGAACACAATGGACTAGGGTTCTTGGGATCTTGGGTAAACGTTACAGCAGACAAGTAATGAATGCCTTCATAAGCGACGTCCTGCTTTTTAGCGATCTTCTAATTGGTAATGGACGCGAAAGTGCTTCTCAGCGTCTGGGTGGAGAAAGTAATCGAACCAAACGTAGCATTTACGAAAAGAATGCGCGCCCCAAGCTGTACGGGTGCCGCGCGCGAACCGCCCGCGCAGCCAGCCCGGTAGGAATAGATGCCCCGAACTGGGCTTTTGAGTTGGTGATCTACATACAGTCTGCCCCAATCGAGATCAGGCCGAACCTTCGGCTAAACTTGCGCGCTCGCAGCGCTAGGGGTTTGCGCTGCATATGTGCGCTGTCGCAGAGAGCAAGAGATTGAGGAGAGGGCAGACTAGCGCGCCGCAAAGTGACGCAGGACCCTCGCTGCACGGACTCCCGCCATGCCAGTTTTGGCCTGGTTGGGATTGGGGCAGACTGTAGAGATCGTGGCTGTTGACCGTATTCCGCCTCCCCCTCCTGCATGAATTTCCAAAGGTTTTCTCTTCGTTTTTTTGCTGTCTCCGATGTAGCGCTCCCTATCAGGAGCTATGATTCTTTCGGTCGTTGCTCCATGCTCTATTCTGACCTGTATTTTAGATAAATCAGAACAAAAGATCCCTTTTTCGGGTAAGTAATCACGCGTCAATCACGTCAGAGATGTACACTATCACGCCAAAGATTTATAACTTTTGATAAGGTCCATAAGTGAGACGCTTACACACTTTGAAGTGCTTCAGCAAAAATACAATAGCATCGTTTTTTTTTACCTATCTGGAATAAAACTTGAATAAGGGCATAGAACGGTCACCTACAATGAAATCATAGGTTGTGAAGAAGATTACTACATTGCGAAAGATAGCAAGAGAATACGAGAAAATACAGAGAAATTTGTGCGCGAACTTCAAAGAAATTGGGCTTGTCCCTCTAGAACGCCAGTTGCCTGCGTGGTTCTGGTTCAGGTCCGTCCACTGGGTTCCGGTGGACTGAGACGACTATAAAGGCAGTGCGGGCAAAAACTGCAAATTATTTATCTGAGTTATCCGCAACGCTGAATCCGAAAACTCACTGAAAAAGCGCGGAAAGGCAACCCCTTCCCAAGTCTAGACGATCACAACATTTGGTTAGAAATCTGCTTTCGTGCAGCAGCATCGACACCCACACTCCTGATTTGCCAAGACTGCTCTCAATTACTTGATATCAAAGGGTTTTCTTTGTCATAACTTTTGAAATCTGGTTATGCGGCAGTGCACTGTTTTATCCTCACATTACAGGAACCGCTGACGGTTGACATTGACTCCAAAGCCGAGTTTTCCGGATCTTGTCCTTCTGTGCACTGTGAGTATGGTGGATTTCCTTTCATTATTTAGAATTCTCTTTTCCTATTAGCTCATTTAGCAACTTCATCTGACCCATCTCCATCAAGAAGATTGTGTGAAAAATTAGTCGATTCACTGTCACCATACTTCAGTGCTTCGTCGGAGAAGCGAAGGACTGTACACAAAGGAGAGTTCGCCGAACTACACAGTGGAAAGACAAAAATAGGTTAAGCTACTTCCTCCCTAATCGAAGGAGTGGGAGCACAGATAATTGATTAGTCTTCAGATAAGTAATATAAGGGCGGTCGCGACTCTGTATCTCGATTCGTTGACCGCACGAACTGCTCAAACCTTGCGGTGGACGCGCAGCACGGTGGAAATGTCGCGAGAGCACAACTTCTCCGACTTTCGTTGCGTACCAGCGGCGTTCGACTGTCCTCTGAGCGCAGCACGCAAACGCCGCTGGTAGGGCAGTCGCACGCCGCTGGTACGCTGTGGAACTCCGCTGGCAGGAGAATGGTACGCCGCTGGTACGCCAAGAGGGCACGCCTTCGGACCGCATGTTCACCCGATTTTTGATTACGTACTAATTGCAGCATTATTTGGTTTGAAAATTGCTATATCGTCATATTTTATGAAGCTGAAATCAGCGCAAAATTTCCTGCTATTTCGATCGATGGACTTCATTGGATCGAAATCGGGGGATTGTGGGCCACCCCTACAACACCCAGCTGAGGTGTTATCAGGTCACTCAATGAGAACAACAACTCAACCTTATTCCTTTGTCAAGTGCCGAGAAGTGTTAGCTAACCACTAAAATGCTGAGGCGGCTCAACCACTGCGTCGTATCCCATACGGGTACGGCTTATGCTTACAGCGTGGGGTAATGTGATGGGACGCCGCTCGCTTGCTTGGGTTGATGGAACGCCGCTCGCCAAAAGACGGTACGCCGCTGGTAGGGCGCATTAAGGAACGCCGTTGGTACGTTAAGCGCACTCCGCTGGTACGCAAAGCCATTTAGGTACGCCGCTGGTACGCAACGAAAGTCTGAGTTGTACAGTGGCGAGTTTGTACTGGAGCAAGCTTTCTGCTCGCGGCGCGTGCTCCGCAGCGATGTCCAGTCGGTGCGGTCAACGAATTATATTGCCTTCTAGATGAGTAGCGCTACTTTCGGCTACAACGCTTATACTACGGTTTCAAACACCTTATCATCTTTTTCTGTCATTAATTAGACGTCATTCTACGGGTCCCGAAGGTCTTTGGGGCAGTGGCTCGGCAAAACTGAGCATTTCAGTTGATATGATAGTTGCCTACCTCCCAAATTTAACGCAGAGTTGTCTGAGCGCACAGTATGCTGCCCCTGCTAAGAAAACTGCCCCCCAACCCGTGCGCGCAGGCCATTTTTACAAGAGCGCACGATCCCCTTTCATGGCGTGGTATGTCGCAGTTTAGGGCCGCATGCATCAACATCCCCGCTGGGGAGAGTTCGCAGCTTACAAAGAAAGCTTCATATCCTGAAGCTCCATATACAGTGACCGCCAAAAAGTTGCGGACAATCCCTCCCTTTTTCATCGCTCTTTTTCAGAGGGAAAACAGGGATGAAAAAATGCAGTAATTGCATGAGGTGATAGTGCTTTTCAAGATCTACAATCTACACTGTGAGCCTTTGAGAAACATGTATTCTAAAAACTTTAAGAATCCTTCTCTAAAAAAGTCCGAAAATGGCCGCGTCACAATGTCGCGAACAATAATTCTTCGATTGCAAAAATTATCTTTTAAATCCTATTTTAAAGCGGAAACACAAGCTATCCGAACGGATAAGCATACTACTATACAGAGCTTGTCAAGAACTACACAATGGTTATGGTTGCTTCCCCAAAAAACGCAAGCTTGAGTTTTATTTTGCTCTTTTCAAAAAATAACTTCTAATTTTCTTTATCAAGCCAAATTTCTTCACACGGAAACCTGTTCAAGATATCCCAACAAAGCCGTCTGGATAAAATAGATGCTCTTTACCATCCTCTATGCATCGGACGTGTGCTGATGAGTTTTTTGGCTAAAAATAGCCCTTGGCAGTGTTTGCACATGACCCCACCTGCACCTCACCACTGACTTGTACCGCTTTGCAGGCTTGTAACTCGGCCGCCAGATATTATAAGAGTTGCAAGTAGACTCGTTCGAAAGAGCGTGACTTCCTGGACACGATGGTATGCAGTTCAGCATGTTCAGTTTGAGCAATCCCAGAGATTTGGCGGATGGGGTGGAAGAGGGCAGCTTCAATTGTAGTTTAAGCACTTTTCAGCTAAAGTTGAAGAGAGCTCCTTTCGCTACCAATTTCATCTTGGAAGTTTAAAACTGTCAATTTTCTTTTAATAGATCCATTTCGAAGCTCTAAAACTGTTCTGGTGTTCATAAAAGCCTTCACTCCAATCACCTCTAGGGCTGCACTTTTTCACCCCATCCGCCAAATTTCTGGGATTGCTCAAACTGAACATGCTTGCATACCATCGTGTCCAGGAAGTCACGCTCTTTCGAACGAGTCTACTTGCAGACTCTTATAATATCTGGCGGCCGAGTTACAAGCCTGCAAAGCGGTACAAGTCAGTGGTGAGGTGCAGGTGGGGTCATGTGCAAACACTGTCAAGAGCCATTTTCAGCAAAGAAGCTCACCAGCACACTCGATTCAAAGAGGATGGCAAAGAGCATCTATTTTATCCAGACGGCTTTGTTGGGATGTCTTGAACAGGTTTCCGTGTGAAGAAATTTGGCTTGATAAAGGAAATCAGAAGTTATTGTTCGAAAAAAGCAAAATAAAACTCAAGCTTGCGTTTCTTGGGGAAGCAACCATAATCAGTGTGTAGTTCTTGACAAGCTCTGTATAGTAGTATGCTTACCCGTTCGGATAGCTTGTGTTTCCGCTTTAAAATAGGATTCAAAAGATAATTTTTGCGTTCGAAGAATTATTGTCCGCGACATTGTGACGCGGCATTTTCGGACTTTTTTTTAGAAAAACATTCTTAAAATTTTTAGAATACATGTTTTCCAAAAAGCTCACAGTGTAGATTGTAGATCTTGAAGAGCACTATCACCTCATGCAATTACTACATTTTTTCATCCCTGTTTTTCCTCTGAAAAAGAACGATGAAAAAGGGAGAGGGGTTTGTCCGCAACTTTTTGGCGGTCACTATATCTGGATTTCACGCTGTATACCGGTCCGTAGGTATTCCTACCTTCCTTCACTACGAACATGTTGAACAGGAGCGGGAAGCTGTACAAGCCGCTTTCCAGCATATGGTATTCTGATAATCCCCGGCTGCCGACCTCTGTTCTTCAAAGTCACTTTTCTTTCTTTGAAGTTAACGAGAGCCTTTCAAAGTTGTACTGAACAATTACAACAGTGCTAAGCATGTTGATAAGAACAGCTGAGTTTTCAGAAAATCGAAGTTTTCGATAAACCCCAACATTCGATTTGTGGTTAATCGCAAATTTCATGACTCCAAGTACATCCTTTGTTCTAATCAGCAACATGCTTAGCACTGTTGAACTAGATGAACAGTACAGTACAACTTTGAAATGTTTTCGCTAACTTTGAAGAAAAAAATGACTTTGAAGAAAAGACGGTCGGAAGCCAGAGATCATCAGGGGATAATATAAAATGCTAGAAAATGCTTCTTGTATAGCTTCTCGCTTTTGTTCAACATGTTCATAGTGAAGGAAGGTAGGAATACATAGGATTGGTATACAGCGTGAAATCCAGATATATGGAGCTTCAGGATTGAAGAGCTTTCTTTGTAAGCTGCGAACCTCTCCCCGGCGGGGATCTTAATGCATGCGGCCTTTATAAGCGTAAGGGTCTCCGGCAACGACTCCACCTTCTTCATCCTTGGCCGGAATGTTCCACTCGTCCAAATTCAAAATTGAGAGGCCTTGGAAAAAGCTGGTTTTTGCCATTTTTCGCTCTCAAAGGTGGATTTCCGAGTTTTTAGCGCGTAGGATTACCCCGAGGAAAACGAAAAATATTTACTTGGAGTTTGCCGAGCCACCGACTTTGAGTTTGATTCAAAACGTGGTGACTCGTTAGTACTAGCGGTTTTCGAAAATCTTGCATTCCCTTTGTCCCACGTCGCCTCCTTGGTTGCGAAGCCCCGCCTTCCAGCAGCTGATCTGGTTAACAAAGAACATATCAATTTTATCCATTTTTTCTGCAAATTTCAAGCTGCGGGACAGATCAAAGGAGATAAGGAAGCATGCTGATCACGAATCGAATATTAGTTTTTCACAATTATTGACTGCTTTCAACGATTTTTGCGATCTTATCCTTACTGAACTTGAGTTGTTACTTAACTAGGGGTCATGCTAAGTAATAGTTCACATTCCATTAGGGATGAGTTCTTGAGTTTTAAAGATTGGTTATTATATAGCATCAGAATTTCACCACTCTCACTTTGTGTGGACGGTGCCTCTAATCTTTCTGCTGTCCTATCCAGAGGGTGCGATAGTCGGAGCTGATTCTCCGCCTACCTTCACTTTTGAGCTGGTACAGGGTGACCACTTTCACTTTTGGGTTTGAAAATTTTTTTTTGCTAAGCTCAAAAGAAGGAAAATAAGCAAAAGGAATGTAAAAGAAAGTAATAAGAGCATATATTTATGTTAGGTCGATCCAGGCAGTAACCGCCGAGAACCAGAATTTCGAATGATAAAATAATGAAAAATTGTGAAAAATTATTCCACTGTTCCAAATCTGCTGGCTGAAGACCTCCGCAGTTGCGACTTCATAGGTTTTGAATGGTAAATGTTGTTCTACCAGATAGTGAAAGAATCAGTTTGATTTGAGGAATGGCTGCCGAGAACGAGAATTTTGAAAACCTCAAAATTCTTCTCCATCTTAGGTTGCTTAATGACAACTGGCATTTAAACTCTTATAAATCCGGACTTTGAAGGTGTGTGATGTTGCGACTTCATAGTTTTTATAGGGTGAGGTTTGCCCTATCAGAATTTGTCTTAGCTGTACCGATCCATTGGAATATCGCCGAGATACAGGCTCTTAAAAAAGCAGGTAAAAACCGTTTTTCAGCTCATAACTTCTTTAGAACTGCATGAATCATGTTGCGACTTCATAGGTTAGATTCTCCTCTTCAAAAGCTTTCAGATGATTTATAATGTGTGGGGGATTCAATGTTTCTTGCGGCTCTAACCCGGGGTGGAGTACTCCTCTTCACTAATTCT